TTATAATGTATTTATCATAACGTTGACGTTGCACTTCGAATCTTTTTATGTATTCCGGTGGCCAATTGCACAGCAGAACGTTCATTCTCTTGTTAAAAAGGATGAAAATATATTTGCGTTTCTACAATGAGAGTATCGACTGAACTCCTTAGCGTTATTGTGTATCGATGAAAATTATCTCAGCGTTTTTAGATTATACTATAATTATTGATGAATTTGCTCACCAAAAGGCACGTCGCAAAATTTTACATCAATAGACAAATTAGCTATAATTAATAAACGTTATTTCAACTGTATAAAAAAACCATCCAGAAAGTTAAATGTTATATTCCTTGTTAATAATTGTAAATCGAAAATTATAAAACTGTTACAACGTCGTAATTTCTAATCGTTCAGTTGTTAAATAAAAATCTATCATATTAATATTTAATATAAGCTATTTATTTATCTACTTCATTGGAGTATACCTTAAGATTTCTGAAGTATATGAATCTGAAAGTAAGGCTCGTTGACGAAAGAAAACATGCAATTCTAGTTGTCATGTTTTAGTTTCCTTTTAATGTTAACGTTTCAGTGTTGAAACGTGAATAATGTTGAACGTTACTTGCTATGAAGATGCAGTTTATATCCAAAATTAGCTAATCCAAAAAATATTTAATTTATGAAAACAATGTGCAAAATGTAATGTTACTTTTGAAGTTAAAACGTTCAAATTAATGAGGAATTGTTATTGAAACGTTACAATTTGAAATGTAACATTAATTCTAAACAGGGGGCGGCAAATTTAATGTGCCTACAGGCGGCAAAAATATTAATTCGCCCCTGTGTGAGAGTATGATAGGCAGTGCAATATAAGTTTACGTACGTTACCTAAAACGAGAACCTATGTGCTGTTATAGCTTCACTTGCTTCACAATTATCGTTTTAATATGTTACATAAATACTTCATGTTAGACATTTATGAAACTGTTGTGAAAATGTGTAGATTCTTGTTTACTTTCTAGTGTGAGTTGTATAGATACAAGTACTATATTGTAATGCTAAAAAAATAGATTTCTAATATTGTGACGGACGGACACGATGCTTGTGTCCCTGACACCGGAAAAGTGTTTTATTATTATTATTATTATTATTATTATTATTATTTTTAACGTCTGTATGAGGGTGGGGCCGTTCACAGATTACCAACAATAAATAATCCTTCGTGGTCAACCTATTTCCCAAAACGTTTATAGATTCTCCTTCCAAATTAATATTTCCACGTTGATCTGTGCGCGTTGAAGGCACTAATATGATATGGAATCCTTTAATTTTGAAAGGCAAATTTACACAAATGCCTAAAACATTGTAGTGGGAAAATAGTGAGGTATTGCCATAAAAATGAAATCGCAGCGATTTTCATTTAAATCACTGAATAATTACAAATGGTTAATAACTTAATAATTACAAATGCTTAAAAATATTTCGGTTTCACGTTGGTTCTACGTAATTCAAGTAGAATGATCTTCGTTCATAAACATATTCTTTAATTAATGTATACCCTTTTTTCAAAATATGAGAAGCAATTCCGTAATTTTGATTAAATTTTGAATATTTTTGTAAAATTGGGATATACGAAGCAAACGTTCAATCAATATCATCAAAGTTTCCTACTTTTACGTTTGAGAATTCAAGGAAACGACACGTTTCGTAGTCCCCTGATATCGAAAAGTGGTGTTTCCGACCGCCCGTCTCTCTCGGTCCGTCCGTGATACGCCCACATGCTCATAAGGGTATATAAGTCTGAGATGGGTTCAAGGGTTACCTCCGTGTGATGTACGGAAGCTCGATGTTACTCGTCACGGGAATTGTTTCCAAGGGAGCAGTGGTTACCGCAGGAGGCCCAGGTAGGTTCCCTAGACGCCGTTGGCAGGGGGAACGGGTTGGGTCAAAACAGAAAAGGTGACGACTCAAAGGAAAGTGGTATGAGAAAGTTTGTACCATTGTGGAGCACAGCTAGTTTTAGTTGTTTTACTTTGAGGTGTCAAAATTCATGCGATATCTTCTAATATCATGTCTTCCCTTTTGCCCGCCGAAGTGCCACATTTCGACGTGACATGGACTCAACAAGCCGTAAGAACCGCCTTGCAGAAATATTGAGCCATGCTGTCTCTATAGCCCTCTTTAACTGCGTGTTGCAGATGGCAGGTTTTTGTGCATGAACTGATCTCTTTTATATGTCATAAATGATAGATAGGATTCATGACGGGCAACCTGGTGTCCAAATCATTCGCTGGAATTGTCCTACATGTTCTTCCAACCAATCGCGAACAATTGCTATCCCCCACAGTGCGAATTTCAATCATAAGAATTTCATGAGTGGCTGCCTAATGGTGTTCGAGTAGCAGAACATAACCATTTCCAGTCAATGATCGGTTTGGTTGGCCCGGAAGACTCCATCCATTCTATGCAATAACAACCCATACTATTGTGGTGCTACCACCTGTTTGCAGTGTCTTGTTGAGAAATTGGGCCCATGCCGTCGTGGGGTCTAGGGCCATGTCGAACCCTACTATCGGCTCTTAACCAAATGAAATATCATCTGACGCTACGTCCCAAATTACTTTCTGCGTTTTTTTGACGCAATGTCCCTTGCCAGATCCCACTGACAACATTACGCAAACGCCGCTGCTATCGGTCATTAACTGAAGACGTCGGCGTCTGCATTGTGTATGGTGAGAGGTTATGCTTGTAATTAGGTATTCTACGTACTATCTTGAAGATACTGTAGATCTCTGAAAATTGAATTCACCAACGATTTCCGAAATGGAAGGCGCTAACTCGTGTGTCCCTACCTCTACCTTTGCGTTCAAAGTTTTTGTTAATTTTCGCGTGCTGCATAATCACGTCAGAAACATTTTCACTTGAATAAAAGTGAAAGCTTTCAAGCAATGTACCTTTTATACATTTTGTACGTGATTGTACTGCATGTGTAATATTCCTTCTTGCTACCCATGACGTTTGTGACCTCGTGTGTATACTAATTCTATTTTTTCATTTCAGTTTCGACGTTTTTATGTCTATGAGGACAACAATGTATGACCATTTCGACCAACAACTACTAAAGCTACTGGATACGGCTTTGCTCTTCTTCTTGCTCCTCTTGTGTTGTACACATGGTTTGTGAAATCTTCAAGAGTGAGTGTGATTGCTGTATTAAATTTTTTTCTATCATCAATATTTAAAAAAAAATTAAAAGTTTAATTAATTCACGATCATTTTGTGAATCCCCTTCATTGTGTTGCGAAATAGCAATAGGAATAATTTTATATATTTTGGGGATTTGTAAAATGTTCATATATTTACATACATAGGGATTTATTTAATATAAATAATGTGCATTCGTGGTATTGTACATCTTTCTGTAGTGTAAACAAAGCATTTCTACTGTATTAAAATGGATATTAAAAAACTTCTTCAATGTTACTACGGGTAAATCTGTGAAACAGGCACCTCGATAAAGCAATCACCTCAGTTTTTTTGTGGAACCTCTTAATTCTTTCATAAGACCTGTAAAAATTTCATTTAAGCGATCACGTGACGGTGGCTAGGCACCTTTCGTAGTTTGAGCTTCATTAAGCGGTCGGTCACCTCTAACGATTTTGTTGTGTTGCAGTATGATGAGATTGAGCTGTGGCGTTGCGGTTAATTTAGTACATTTCTGCGTCGGGCTGCCGTGTCAGGTTACTTAAAACGGACGTTTCAAGTCGCTTAAAAGGCTAGGGAATGAATGTGTTTCAAGTTACAAAGGTTATTTCAATACATTTTCGAAGCAATAATAATAATGCTCTAGCTTCGTCCATTGCACTTACAAGATTATTGACGTTTGCTACCCATCTGCGACAACTTGGCAACGGCTTGTGAAAGGCACCGCGTGCGGGAATTCGATCGGAAGGTCTTTGTTAAAGGAGAAGCTTTATTGAAAGTCTTTTCTCATTGAATGTGAAATGCATTTTGATGTCTAGTTTGCTTGGATTGGGTTCGTTGAATACGGAAAGTCGGGTTCGCGACTAAGAGAATAAATGAAAGTCTTCAGTATATAGCCCTAATAAAGAGCAAGCATGCGATCTCACAAGATGAGAAAGGCCTTTCTGAGAAAACAAATTTACCAACACTTTGTAAGCAGAAGGACACTCATTCTTTAAATTATAAAACTAGCGCTGCTGCAACAGAACATACTTTCTCGCTTTATTTTTTTTCTTCAGTTTTTGAAAATTCGGAGAGCTTAGCGAAAATTAGACCTGTTCAATTTTTTAAGTGACCCTTGCTCTATCCGAGAGAAAAAATTAAATACAATTTGGAGCTTATTTTGAGATTAAACTAGTGGTTCTGCCAAAGCACATACTTTCTCGCAATGTATCTATACGCTCCGCAATATTATATTGATTCGAACATTATATTAAACAGTTGATTTAATGTGAAATACATTTTACAAATAGAACAAGTGAGTTGTAATCTTGTTTTAAAATTCAAAATACAAAATTGACATCCTGCAGACACTTCCAGTTTATATAGAATCTTAATAGAGTGTGTATGTGAGTAGAATTGCCTCAAATGATTGTTTAGTTCATACAGGAGTCCATACTCATATAGGAGTTTTTAGTTCGTGACATCATTGTCACACTGGACATTATAGAAGGGAGGATTGTAAGGTGCGGCACCTAAAATTCCTAGCACTTCTCATTTTTTAAGTAGGCCTGGGAAGCTGAGATCACTGAGGGCGGAAGTTCCTGGATCGAAGGGTCGTGGATTTGAAATCCGCCTCGGAATTAGAAGCTCTCATAGATTTCTGTGGGTTACCAATGGGGCGGGGGCAGTGAGGTCCAGCGGTAGGTTTAAGACAAATGGGAGACGCTCCACTAGGCTTACTATTTATTGTTTTAAGAATAAGCAATTTAGTAGATTTAGAAATTATATTCGAAGAATGTTTAACTTTTGTAACCACGAATTTATGTTTTCAGGATTCTACTGAGAAGTTGTACAGAACTGGGCAAGTTGCTTACAGAGATAGAAATTTCAAGTTTCAGTAAAATGATTAAAATGGAATGTAGTGTAAATATGTATTGTGGAAGTTAATAAAATTATTCATTATTTGTGTTTTATTCATCTTTGATTGTGTGTATTATTGATAAAGAAGACTAGAATAAATCAAAAGCGTTTAACGCCAAAATATTATTGAGAGCTTTTCTTGGTGGAGTGGCACATACTATACGAAACAATACAAATAAATACAAACGTACAAATGATATGTATGAATGTGTGTGTATTCACTGTTACTGAAGGCATGTTGCACAACTATAGCTAAGAATCAATATTAATAGAGGGCTAGTGATTTATCCTGTGAATGGATAGTTGAAAGATAAGTAAATAGAGATAAGACATGTGCAACCTCAATATTATTTTATAAGACCAATTTATATACTGTATATCTGAAAGTTAACAGTATTGTTTTAAATTAGCATTAATCCAATTCAACGATGCCTTATTTTATGTGGCGAAACCCAGTCCATCAGAACTGCTCTTCCGCCCGACCTCGCAAATTTTTCCACGCGCCTTTTCGCCATCTTGCAGAGGAAGACGACTCGGGCGACGCTACAGGCGATTTAAATGTAGCCCAGATGTTTCTTTTAGGCTCAATCTTTGGAACGCAGTAAATCATCATGGAACAGACAGCTTTACTTTCGCTCTGAAGAACGGAGTACGAAGGAGTTTTTCACCCACACAAATTCACGGCGAATTTGGATATAACGATTCGATACGCTAACAATTACACCACCAACCGTCTTCGTTATACCAGATGGGAATCATTATTACAATTTAAAGATAACGTAAGAAAGTTATATACATTTAAAGTTGTAAATTGAAGCAATTTCACATAGTGACAAATATTCTGAATAATGAAATGTATCTGAAATTATTGACGTTGAGCCAATAGAATAAGATGAATTAATAATTTATTGTGTGTCCCCCAAGTTGCCCCTCGACATACATAATCACGTGATATGAAATGTGACAGCCTTGTTCATAGAGCACCTGGTAATTCCGTGTTGAGAATGCACTCCGGTGTCTGCAGGAATGTGTGGACTGTCGGCGCAGGCTATTCCAGACAGACGGTCGGGAGCTAACTCATTCTTGATTCCTCGCTTTCCACTAGGACTTGACTGCGAGTGTCACGGTGCACCCCAGCGGGTGTGGCGGGCAAAAAGCAAACTTCTCTGCTATTTTCTCATATTACCGATCATGCATAGATTCTACGCTGAGGTGCTCCATTACGCCCGATTGATGGTAAACTGCCTTAGAGGCTTTTTGCTTGGGCACCAACTTGCCCCGCGTAACCGTGGGTACTCTGCACCATGTAGAATAATTGACTGCAACTGTGAGTAGAAAACCCACACCCAAACTAGAAAGTGTATCATGAAACATCTTAACGTTATACTGTCGCATGTTAAAGTCCACACTTTTCTATATCCTTACATTTCCATATTAAGAGGGAAACTTGTTTAATAAATTAATTTAAATAAATTACTTTATTTGTTTAAAAATGTATGAAGGTAACTTCCAATGTACTTATAGAATATAAAATAAAAATAAACTAAATGCTGGGAACGATTTTTAATAAAGTGTTATTCAGTGTTACTATCATTTTCTTGGAACGAATCACAGCAATTTCTTACAAATATTTGAAGTAATTTGACATCCTTGCTTGACAGCTTTTCGCTTTCTTTGATAGTCACAAAAATATTAGAAAAGAAAGCTACTTAAGTTGTACATGCCAAAATACAGGATTGAGCAAGTGCAGCCCTACTCTCGAAATACGATAATTATTTTACTTTATTTTCGAAATTTCACTGAATCACTGCTGATATCGAAAATACTAGTCTATGTAAAACAGAAACCAATTCTAACTAGATACAGTCTTCACTGTACACGTCCATTCTTTGCCAATATTATTTATTATTTTTTTTCTTTTTGCAAAGAATATCAAACGATGTAAGAGCTATCTCCATCATAGTTTGATTTAATTTCTGAGCTCTCTGATATTGCCCTTCACAATTTTTCTTGAACTTTTGCCTTAACTTTTGGATTCACACGCAAAACACCCTGGCAATTTCGTGTTGAGTCTCTGTCGTGACTTTTTTATAGCATAAGGACTTGCAGCGAATTTCAGTTTTATCATAATTAAGTGCACCCACCTTCATAGGAATGAGTAGTAAAAACACGGTATAACAATTCACATCAAATAATTATAAATCTTACATGACTTGTAGTTTGTTCGTCTAGTGGGTACACAGTCCTTGCAGAAACGGGAAGTAATACAGTTGCACTAATCGCATAAAAAAAAACAATATTCTTCGGTATCAAGCAACTATTAATACTTCTATCTGCTGCGAGAGTGAATCTTGAATTAATGACTATCCAAATAAACCTCATCAGTCTGCGCAAACCACGGTGTACACAGAAACTGTAAACATAAGATGGTGTCTAAGCCTTCTGGGCGTGACGTCACAAAGCTGACTTCCGGCGCCAACGCCATACATAGGTGGTATTGGACAGTATCGATCGAACAGTATCGTGTCTAATAATATCTCATTCTGTAGATTACAATAAGAGAAATGTTCCTTTTAGGTGTTTGACCTCGAAATTTAGTGTTTAAAGGCCCTAGAACTCTTAGTTTCGTAGTTAACTATTTAGATTTTTACAATGCGTCTTAGTGTTACGGGTTGCATATGACGTGAATATTTATATTCGTTTTTTCAACCAATCCTTCATATTTTTTAAGTCAATGTGCTGTTCGTCACATATCCGTGAAATTCCCTATTTTTACAGACATAATTTATCAAGATTGGTTGCGTGTGGGAGGCGCAAAAGGTATGTATCCTACTGAAATAATATAGGAAACAAATTGAGGATACTGAGGAGCCACGGAGCAGGTAAGCGGGCTCGGTCGCTCCACGTAGCGATGGTGGGCCCAGAGCCTACACAGACGGGGGAAGTGATTCAGTTCATTTATTCAAGGATCATCTAAGTGCGGCAGAAGTTGGGCAACAAACGGAGAACTGATTCCCTTTGCCCCTGAACCACCCATTTCTAAAACTTACTTCTCCCTATTTTCCCGACCTTTCTAACTCTTTAAAACATATCTGACACTCAAACCTCGACCTCCCAAGGAACCCTTACTCCAGCAACCTAACCCTTTTGACGTCCCAGCCAAACACCAGCAACAAAATCAGAAAAGGCCTGTTTCGACATCAGGCTTACTATCATCAGGCAGACGTACTAGCTTGTCAGCTAGGTCGAATTAAGTCGGTGGCTGGAGGGGAATTCTGGCGGACAGCTTTTCTGATCGATAATTTTCCGTGGTTTATCCAATCACTACTAGACGAATGCCGGAGCATTACCTTACCGGACTGGGCGCGATCTTCCCTCCCTTTTCCTTGACCTATCCTCACTCCTTCACACTTACGCTAAAATGCCACACACGCCAAAAGATCGGTCGGGAGATTAGAGCTTGTCCGTTCTGGGGCGGTGCTCCACTTGTGAGAGATTACCGGGGAAACCCCGCTAGCCGACGGTAGATCGGCTCTGGATCACCGCCACGTCTAGAGGGGAAAACATGTTCTACACTAACGGGACTAATGGCCTTTGGGGTTTACGCGCCTGAAATCACTAACAATCAATATATTTGCTTATTTTGCGCAAAATCGTGTACATTTTACATCTTTTAAATCTTATGTTACCTTATACAACCTTGCGAGAATCCAAGATCACTGGAAGGTCATTAAATATTTCTTTGGGTCCTAAAACAGATAATCTATAATATTATAAATAATTCAAAATTAAAGTTTTGAAGATCCCAAAAATCTTAATAACTATTGTTTATTATGAAGCTGTTCAATAGTTCAAGTAATGAATGTATATAACAAATGATTTATTGTGAAAGGCATGTCCTTTTTGTGAATTATTTATCTTATTACAAAAAGGCAGAAAATCTGCATACGTTTTCAGTTGAAATATTTGATATTCGGATGGCACTCTGAAAGTTTCCAAAATTGAAAGGAAGAAATTTATTTACAAATATGCCGTTAACAATGCCTATTCTACGAATTCTTCTCATGCCCTCTTAGTTGCTCTTAATTAGTCTCATGCTCCTCTGATTCAAATCGATCGACTACTTTTTTATTGTTGACTCATTTAATGCTGGCAGTTCTTCATTTGCCTCGATACGTGATGAATCTGTCTAGAGAGCACTTTCGGGCATTCATTTTCAATGATTTTGAAGTGCGTCTAGATAGTAAAGAACGTCTTGAACAGTTGAGGAGTGCATTCGTGATTCTTCCCCGTAAAAATCGACTGGGTATGAATGATATTCGAAATTTTGGCAGAAGGAAGAAAGTCAATTGAAGATGAGGCTCGCGAGGAATGACCACAAGACAGCGACGACGGAAGAAAGCATATCGTCTCTGCAGTTGTGCAGTCTTGTCTGTGATGTTAAAGGATGACCCACACTGCACTAACCAGCAGATACAGAAAAACTTGGGTATTGGTTTCTCCACAGTGCCACGAATTTTGCATGAAAAGCTTGGAGCCAGGAAGGTCTGCAGCCTTCATTCTCACATTGTTTGTCTCAGGATCAAAAAGCAGATCGCCTGAACTGGTGTAACTTTTTATCTGAGAATCATACTGCACCCCCTACTGTTGAGACCTGGGCCCTGCGCCCTTTTTTTTATTTCCAAAAGCTAAAGAAACAAAGAGAGGATGCCAGTTTGAGACCTCAGAACATGCAGTAGCAGCCTACAAAGCATTTCTAACAGAGCTTCCGAAAGCACAACGACGTGCAGCATTTCAAAAATGCTACACAGAGGATGGTCCGCTGTGTAGATGCTGGGGGGGGGGGAATACTTCGAGAAAATTTAAAGGTAAGAATCAATTTCCTCTTCTTTAAAACTACTTTTTGGGAAACGTTTAAATTGTCCCTCGTACAATTTATCGTGACAATTTATCTTCTAATGTACTTCTTGAATTATATAATTTCAAGCCTAAGTGCAATTATTGAGTTATACATTATAGAGT